ACTAGAACTACCAAAAGGTGGCTTCAATTTTGATAATTTTCAAAGGTTTGTGAATAAATTACTTGCCTTAAAAGCCTTTAAAACGATAACAGGATCAAGGTTTAAATACTTTTACTTTTAAAAAATTTGCGCGTTTTAGAAATGTCTTGCTTGAGCAAAAAGGCCTTCACATGCCTAAACCAACTAAGACTGGTACAACTATTGCCGCAATCTGTTATAAGGTTAATTATGAATTAATTAAAATTTGTTCTTTTTTTTTAAAAAAAAAAGTAATAACTCGATCTAATAAAAGTTTTGTCTCGATTGTTTTAATTATATCATACTTTTTCGTAAATTTTGATGATTTTAGGACGGTGTTGTCCTTGGTGCTGATACACGCGCAACTTCAGATACTATTGTTGCAGACAAAAATTGCGCGAAAATTCATTACCTTGCTCCAAATATATATTGTTGTGGAGCCGGTACTGCTGCGGATACCGAGTATACGACTGCTCTAATTAGTTCTCAATTAGAATTACATCGATTAACTACCGGGAGAAAAAGTCGAATTGATACCGCTAAGATGTTGTTAGCCCAATTTCTTTATAAGTATCATGGGCATATTTCCGCCGCTTTAATAGTTGGCAGTTATGATGTAAAAGGTCCTAAATTATACAACGTAAGTCCTCATGGAAATGCGGATAATTTACCTTTTTTGACTATGGGAAGTGGTAGTTTGGCTGCTATGGCTGTTTTCGAAAGCCGTTGGAAAAAAGATCTTGAGGTGACTAAAGTTAATTTACATGTTTTAAATGTTTAGGTGTTATAAAATGTTTACGTTGTTTCTCCTTTTTTTTTTATATTTTATTTTTTAGCGTCAAGAAGCTATCGAACTCGTTTGTGATGCTATCGAAGCTGGTATTTTCAATGATCTTGGTTCTGGATCAAATGTTGACATTAATGTAATTGAAAAGGATAAAGTGGACATATACAGAAATCTTCGTAAACCTAATGAACGCGGTCAAAAAGAGAATTCAATCGCGGAACCACACGTACTATAATGCTTACTTTGTGAAAGTTAATTAAATTTTTTTTTTTTTTTACTAACAAAACATTTTAATATACTTATTAGCTATCATTAAGGAATCAATTAAAGATCTCCTCGTCATTACAGAAGGTGTTGAAGCTATGGATATTTCGTAAAAGGTTAAAATGAATTTCTTTTAGGAATTGCTTAGTAAATAAGAAATATTATTATTTTATATATAAGATATATATATATACCTATATATATTTGGAGAATCTCAATTGGGGCCAATAAAAATAAAAAAAACAATAAAAATAATTTAAAAAATTTGATCTTTTTAATGAGTTACAAATATTATACGTAATATCTATCTTTTCTGAAAAAAAAAAAAAAAATTCAGTCATTATTTAACTTGAAGTAGGAATTTAAATAGCTAGCAAAAT